AAAAAAACAAAAAGGGGGTCGAAACTTATGAAACACCCTTTAATTCATAACCTATGAGCCGCACACAATACGGGAACATATATTCGGAAAGAGTTCAAAATTCTGATTCCAACCCAATGCTTTCAATTTTCTGCTGACTCTTGTATTCAGCTGCCAAATAAAGGAACATGTTGTCCAAAAACTTTCGCACTAACCGTTATTCTATATAGTATCGTTTATCTCATCCACTTTCAATTGGACAAATTCAATTTGATCAAGATCAATCACCTATTGCTCTTGAACCATTTACATTTTCTCCATATAATACACAAAATACAATAACATATTACGAAGCATTTTGGGGTCTTTATTTACCTATTACAACAACATTTCGTGTTTGTGATATATGGCGAAGTTTTTGGGTACAACGTCTCCTTTGGGATATTGGTGGTCGTCTTGTATTTGGTAGATCGACTATTAAACAAGTAAGAAATAGTCATTCATTTATTAAAGATATGAATGATGAATATCAATTATATCATCAATCTGGTTCATTTGTTCGTTTTCTTGTTTCATGATCATCATCTCAACGTTTACTTTCGAAAAAGAATTGTTCAATTAGCAAGAGATATAGCTCAAGCAGGATTTTGGCAATCAAAAGAAGTTGATATAATGAATGCATGGCTTGCTGATCTTCATTCAGTTGGTTATTCATTTCCATCAATTGTTCTACCATTTTCATCTTCTTCACCTTCTATAATACAAAAACGTGCAGCTGTATGTGTAACTGGTCTTGCTGAATGCATTCAAGAAGCTTGGGTTCCAACTTACAGTACTATTTTTAATCATCTTCAAGGTGATATTGATGTATTCCTTTTTCTTTCGTCATCTCGTAAATCAAAAACGAATCTGTTTGATATTAATTTAAAACAAATACGTTCCTACTTGGATTCTACAGTAACTATACTTTATGAAGATCGAATTATTGATCCACATATACCATTGAATTGTAAGACATTCTACAATCCAAATATGGATAGATCACATGTTATGCCTTACTATCAACAATTGTGGGGACTTGCTGAATGCTTCGATTTAGTAAAAGAATATGAACAGAAAATGAATATTCGTTATGAATTTTTAATACGCGCTCGATCAGATTCAGTTCTTGATAAAGTTCCTCGAACATTAGAACCTCAAAATAATTTGACATTAGTTATTCCAAATGAATATGATTTTGGTGGTTATAATGATCGATTTGCTATTGGTTCCATGTCCATAATGAAAAAATATATGAGACGATGACATGATCTTAGTCGTTGTTATGTGGAAAATTTACATGCTGAATCATTTCTGAAATTATTTTTTTAATCGATTTAATATTAGTGTTCAACTTATAAAAAGTTTATCTTATGCAGAAAAACCACATGGCGATGGTCGATGTCACTAGATATAAAAAAAGTCATATATCTATATTCAGAAAAGATTATTATTTAATGAAATGAAAGTTTATTGATCAAATATTTTAATTGTGCGTTTTTCTATTTCAAAGATCTTTAACATTGTTGACACTTGCTTAAATTGTTTGTCATAACAATGATAAATAAAATATTCTAAATAAAAATTCATTCTTTTCTTTTATTCCGTTTATTGAAGATGAAACCTTTAACCGAACACATCCTTTCTTTTTTAAAGATACTGGATGTTCAAAAAGATACCTACGAAAAAAAACCTTACATCTCTACCAGAGATCAGGACAGGGCAGGGCTGCCCTGTATGCCCTGATGTCCTGCTGTCAGGGCACAGGAAAAGCCTGATTTTTAGCTCTGCCCTTGTTGCCCTGCAGGGCAGGGTGTGGGTGTGTGTGAGTGTGGGTGTGGGTGGGTTTGAGTGAGTGTGGGTGTAGGTGTGGGTGAGGGTGTAGGTGTGGGTGAGGGTGTAGGTGTGGGTGAGGGTGTAGGTGTGGGTGAGGGTGGAGGTGCGGGTGTTGGTGAGGGCGGAGGTGTGAGTGGTGGTGTGGGTGTTGGCGTGAGGGTATGAAAACAACACCGACACCTCACACCCACGCCCATATCCTAGTTTTTTCAGATTTTGTTTTATTACTGAGAAAATTGAACGTTTTCTAGTTTTGGTAGTAAAAGGATCAACAATAGTCTTGCTTATTGTAGTTCTTATTATCAACACTCAGCTGAAGAACAAAATAAACTACATATTTATAATCAGCATGGAGGTCTATACTGAATCACATACATTCTAACAAAATCAATTTTCCATGGAAAGCGTACTTGTACTCCTTCTCACTATTTTTTCTTCTAAAATTTTTCTATAGACTCCCTAGGGTCGATTTTTCATTTGAAACAGAGTTTGATAGAATACATATCGCCCAGCGTAGGTTTTTACGCTGATTATAAATATGTTGTTTATTTTGTTCTTCAGCTGAGTGTTGATAATAAGAACTACAATAAGCAACACTATTGTTGGCCCTTTTACTACCAAAACTAGAAAATGTTTAGTTTTCTCAGTAAGAAAACGAAATGTGAAAAAGACTCAATGGATACTATTGTAGCTCAAAACAGGCTGATTCAAATCAGATAAGACATTTGATCTTATCTTCTCTCACAAAAAACTAGATAGATTTACACAAGTTCTCCAAAATCCATGCTATAAGTCTACATCTATTTGAAAGCGACCTTTTACATTATTTATTTTAAATCTAAGAAAATAATTCTTTTCTGAGATTCCTATATCTATAGGAAGAAAACCTTTGACGATTCAAAATCAATGTCAATGCTTTTTCTACTCATCGAGATTCATCTACCTTGAAAGTTTTATAACTTTTTTGTCGAAACATTCTCGAGAATTCTTGAAAAGGGGAATCCATTAAGGAATTTTGAAAAATTACTATAGTTGAAAAAAAGTCGTACAGATTTGTATGATATACTGAAATTTTTTATATTTATATTTTTAGTGTTCAAGGGTACTAGTCAGTCATCATCCATCTACCATATTTTTGTATTTTAGTTGTTGAAACGCATAACATAGCTCAAATAATATCAACATTTCCTATTGTTTTTTCTCTATAAATACAATTAAGATGGCGTTCGCTTCGATATTGAAATATGAAAACGAAAACAATGTTAGAATCCATGAAAATCATTACCAACAATTACCTTCAAATAAGAAAATCAAACGAATAACATTGATTTTTTTGTTGGCTCTATGTGTTCCATTTACTTTCATAATGCCAAACTCGATACATCTTAAAAACTCAAATTCGCAGTTTTCTCACATATCGCGACAAAATTTTCTAGATGGTTGTCGATATGTTTACATTGATATAGGAACAAATATTGAAGTACAAATTCGAAAAATTTATGAACCACATTTATATCCAAATGCACCAGTTCTACCCCTTTTTAAACAAATTTTTGGAAACTATTCAAATGAAGTATGTTCTGTTGGTTTCGAAGCAAATCCTTTACATGACAATTATTTGAAAGAATTTGAAAATTATTGTTTAAAACGCAATTGGCTTGTAAAGATCTTTACATCGACTGCTGTTAGTATTATCGAAACAAATCTTACATTTTATACCGAACCAGGGAATGAAGCAAATAATCAATGGGGTGCAAGCTTAGAAGCAAACGGAAAGAAATCAAGTATCACTGTACCAAGTATTGATATTGTATCTTGGTTTAAAAGAGCAGTATTAAATTGAAAAATACCTTCGGGATTTGCTTCAGCAAAAGTAATGATGAAAAGTGATATTGAAGGACATGATTCAACTGTCATAGCAAATCTCATACTCAATGGAGTTTATTGCTCAATCGATCTTATTTATGGTGAGCATTTTGACGAGAATTTTCAAAAAGCAATTTCCTTATTACAACAATATTCCACATCATGCAAAACTAAATTAATTTATATGGACGATGAGTCATATTATGACAAAAGATTTCCTTCTTATAATTCAACTAACTGAATTGTGTTGATTTGATGAAATTATTAATGGCTATAAGCAAATCATTGATCCTACCAATTAAAATATGTAGCGATGAACAAAAGTTTAGAGCAGTTGTATTTTTGTGTTTTCTTTTCAATGGTAATGACTAAGAAGAATCTGACGAAAACAACATTTGAGTAGCTGAAATGATTCTCTATCAGAATTGGTGAATCTAAAAACTCTAATAAAACTGTTTGGATGAAGCTTAATGGCGTAATCAAAAATTCAAGGATCGTGGGACTCAGCCCCAGGTTTTTTTGTTTGATTGACATATCTAAATTTTCAAGTATAATATTTTCAACATGATAGAAGGCTATATCTACACTGACTATTCCTAATGAATAACCAATTGAATCATATATTTGAACAAAAATACAAAAAACCAAAGAAAAATGGTAATTTTTCATTTAAGCATAATTCGACTATTTTTATGAATTGCTGAAAAGTTATCCATAACCTGTTCAAAATTGACATCTATATCATGTTCTACAACCAACAAAGTTAGATCGCTCATTGTATTTCATACTGTTGTTTTAATCATTTTCATTTTTGCAAATGTTCGCTCGCATGTCGTTGAAGATATTGGTATTGTTATAGCAGTTTGTATAAGTGTAACAAGTGATGGAAAAGCTTCTTGAAATCGATACAATTCTTTCTATAAATCGATAATGGTAGTTAATGATTTATTTTGTAACATAGGTTTCACCACCATTAACCCTTTATATCCTGTTGGGTCATTTTTGACCCATTCATATAAAGTTTTGCAGAAAATACAGGAAGCATGGTGTTGAAAACTCCCAAAACAATATTGGTACGGAACTCCATAAGCTATCGATTGGTAAAAAAATATTTTGTTTCGTTGCTCTATCTCCGAGATATATGACTTTCAAAATTATCGATTTTGAAAGAATTTAAGAATAACAAAATTTTAAAAGAAAACGGTTTTTTATTCACACACAATAGGGATTTCGAGGCTGTATTGTGTCATCTATATCGATAGTAGTGTCTACTATTTAACTAAATTCGTTTCAAAAATTTCAGAGGGGCTTGGCAGATAGAAATGATAATATATCAGATGGATTCTGAAACGACTATTGAACAGAAAGAGAGAGATGGCGGATACCATGAATATATTATTTGTAAATCTTATCAGAGTAGCAGTCGAAAAAAATATTTATCATCGATTAAATGTCTTCATTGATGATATAATGACTTACAGAAAAATGTGTATTTTTAAAAAATCTCTCTCAAAAATAAATGTGGTGTTTAAAAATAGTTTTTTTTAATATTCGTAGCTTTTCTTTTTGGATTTGAATCTAATAAAAAGGAATAGAAAGCACGTTTGTCTAATTAACACCGTTATAAACAAGAAAAGAAGTAGGGCTTTTAAAGCTGTTCCACCCCCTTCTCTGTCTCATTGATCACTGTGGTTATCAAATTCCCCTGAACAAAAGGTAGTGCACCTGATCGATCTGCCCATACCATTGGTATGTTGGGGAGACCAATACTCTATTTTTGTGGTAATTTTATCAGCGACTCTTCTGGAACCGCTTCAGAGTATAAAGGATTAATTTGTTGGATAAGACTTGAAGATCAACATTTAAATGATTTGCAATTGGTTTTAATGAATCAAAATCTAAAAATGTATTACTATCTGGACATACAGATGACATACCTGATAAAAGTTCTAAGTATTTTTGATGAAAATCGATCTTCTAATTCAACTAAAATATTATCAATTACTTGATAGTATATATATGTTCGATAATAATATTCATTTTCATCATCATCTCGTTGGCCGATCGTACTAGCGAGGGTGCGGGTGTGGGTGTGGGTGTGGGTGTGGGTGTGGGTGTGGGTGTGGGTGTGGGTGTGGGTGTGGGTGTGGTGTGGGTGTGGGTGTGGGTGTAGGTGTGGGTGTGGGTGTGGGTGTGGGTGTGGGTAAAATGAAGATCAACACCCACAGCCACCCACACCCACACACCCACACACCCACACACACCCACACCCACACCCACACTCCTTGCAGGTATACGATAGATCTCCTCAACCATTTTTTGAGTAAACCCCTCCCGATAATAGAAGCCCATCCCATATTAGAAGCCCCCCCCCCCAGTATTAGAAGCCCCCTCTGGAGGATTCGATATGCCAGACATATTAGAAGCCCCCTCTGAAGGATTCGATATGCCAGACATATTAGAAGCCCCCTTATTTTAAAAACTTTTTGAGAGTTTTTTGAAAACATTTTTTAGTATTTTCACAGCAAAACTTAAAAAATTACAAAATTTTAAGGTAAAAATGCGTTAAATTCTTAGTTAACCGTATCAAAATCTCAAAACTCCTTCAAAACCCTCAAAAATCTGTAAAAAACCCTAAAAATCATATTAAGGCTTTTGAAAAACTGTAGTACCTAAAACCTTGGAAAAATCATAGGACATAATAGAAGCCCTCTCCAAAAAATTTGTATGCTGGACATTTTAGAAGCCTAGGGGGGCTTCTAATATGGGGAGGGGTTTATAGGATCGATCTACTAAATCCCTTTAGGTATGGGATTGATCTCCTAAACCCTTTCATAAACTCTTTTAGGGTATAGAAAAGATCTTCTAAACCCTTTAATAAATCTTTTTAATGTATAGAAGTTATCTTGTAAACCTTTAAAAAGGGGTTTAAGAAGGTGTATATCATTCTCATACATCCTTTCCTAAATCCTTGGAAAGGGTTTATGAACTTCAAATACCTTTTCATATATCCATCACAAGGGTATATGAAAAGGTTTATAAAATTCATATACCCTTTCATACACCCTTATAAAAGGGTTTTGGAAAGGCTTTATAAAAATCTTGTGTAAGGTAAAAAAGGGTTTAGGCTACGTCGCATTTTCTCAAACGCTTTAAGAGTTTATTATTCTATGCTGTTTTTTTACAGTGCAGACAGATGATCTAGCGTCGCGTACCGTGAAAGGAAATTCACGATGCATGTCAGTCTTCCATTCGCCGACAATTGTCAATGTGACAAGACCTCTCATTCACCAGAAAGGTTGATGAATCGTGTTGCAAGATTTGAACACGGCCACGAATTATGCTGAAAGGTTTCTAATATTAGATAGGGCTCCTAGATATATGGTGAGTGTAAAAGTTTTAGCTCAAAACAATATATTAAGTGCATGAGTATGAATGAAGAGAAAATTCTCATCCTCGCGCAATCATCGACAATTTCTCATTTGAATGGGAGATTAATCCTGACTTTTGAATTGTCAGCCAGAGAAAATAATTCAAGCGATAAAAGCGTGCTAGAAAGTGTATCAAAAGAAAACAGTCACAAACAGCCCAGGACCGCGTTACAGAAACAGCATGGCACATCAGTACTCGACTACAGAAATTTCTACGGAAGAAGTTATAACTTGTCAAAAAAGCCTGTTCTGGATAGAGTCAAGTATTAAGTGGCATTCGTATCTTCTAGACTACAAATATTTCATTTCCAGACTTCGTTCCTATATTTTCTTTGTGAGATGTTCACAGGGATGACAGTATGACAAATTGTAATGAGATCTGTGAAGTACTTCGCTCGGTTTTGCGAATAGGGCCAAAGTGATGTAACGAAGAATGGCATCGCCCCATCGATATTTGAATATTCCATTACTTGAATCGACATTGTGGATCCAGGATTGCACATTCTTGTTGCGGAAAAAAGAAAGTTTCATTATTTCAAAATTATTGTAGTAAGACAACACTGCATTTTTTCTACTCAGTGTATGGTTCAATTTGATCGGATCCTGTACAGATATTTTGGTAGATTGCTGATAGTTGATTGTTAGAGCTTTCAGGTTTATGGTTCCGGGTAGCCCATTTTCGGATTCATGCCTTTCCTCGTTTGCAAAATAAACGGCGTTTTTTGACTTCATTATATCGAATACATTAGGCCAAGTTCCAAGAATTCTCGAATCGTCATCTAAACGCATCAAATATTCGATACCTTCCAGTTCTGGCAACTCGAAGATTAATCTGAACCAGAATCTAATCATATTGTGATAATTCCATTTACCTCGTTTTCGAAAGGTTGGTTCGGCTAGATAAGGATCAAAGCCACGTGAAAATGAATAAAAGATATGGTCAATATTGAAAAAGAATACTTGTCGCGGTGTTGCATTATTGATTAGTACGAAATCCTTCCTTATCGGATATCCCGTGTGAAATATAATGATAATGGATGTTTTATTATCTTGAAATCCATTATCGAGCTGGACTAATTGAGACGATACTGCTGCATAGTTCTCAGCGACAAGAAAACTGATCGCATTCTTCCGATATAACGGAAACCGAGAACGAGGATACATTCGAATCAGAGATGAATCTGCTTCCATATGCTTTTCAGAAACACGAACAGTGATCGGGTATAATTTTAATAAATGAAACCAATATAGTACAAATCCGATGAGAAAAAGAAAAGAAAAATAGGAAACTCTTTTATTCAGCATATTAATGATGGAGTTTGTCGAGTGCTGCAGAATGGTAAAAAAAACATGTGTAGCAAAAAAAATTGCTCACGATCTCTTCGAAGTATCACAGTGTCGAAATTCAATAGTAGATACATGGATATGGCGTTCGCATTCTGATGATCTCCACCGTATTCCCTAAAATGAAAGCTTCGTTTTTAATCACCTAGAGCTCTTCAAACACTACAACAAGGTGAAATATGTTTTCAGAGTAATCACGACATAATAAAAATTAGGAACATGAAAAAGCCGCTTTAGTCGTCAACGAGACGCCGTCTCGTCTCACACCTCGCCACAATGTTACTGCGTGTGATGAAGCTGAAGAGGCAACATATCAAAATGTATTCCACGATTTATTATAGCAAAAGCATCTTCTCGAAGTCTCTGCCTCAATCTGTGCAGCAGACAGGGGCAATTCAGTTTTCTCGCTATATCTATACATATAATGTTCAGTATCTGTGTGTGCATGGGTGTTTCTCTGTGCTGGGTCAGAGGTCAAAGGTCAATAATCGAATAAGGCTATAATAAAGAAGGGTATAAGGGACTAAGGCAAAAAGGAGGTAAGATTATAAGGAAGTAAGACTATAAAGGGGTAAGGCTGTAGGGTAATAGAGGGATCTATGTATAATGAGGATGGGTGTGGGTGTGGGTGTGGGTGTGGGATGTGGGTGTGGGGTGTGGGGTGCGGGGTGTGGGGTGTGGGGTGTGTGGTGTGGGTGTCGGTGTGGGTGTCCTTTTCATCAACACCCACACTCTATTTGGTTCACGTTATGCATCAAGCATCAATAGTGATCAATCCATGGGAATTTGATCTATTCTGGTGTTTTTTTGTTTTCTATTTTAGGTTTTATTGAACTAAAAAATTACTCTTAAAAAATATATCAATACAAATGAAAGTCATTTTCGAGTTGCAATACTCGATTCCCTTGTTCAATTACTTTTAATTCGTGTTAATTATGATTGATTACATGCTGATGAATTTCATTATATTTTTAATCGCTTTATTTATTTTTTAAATAGCGTTTTCTTACTTATATTATCAATCAACTTGAAATGATTGAATAAACTATGTCAGATTATGACATGTCATCACATTTTGTTTTATTCTATTGCTAAATCTTTTGTTATGTTATCATATAATAGATTTCATTCAAAACAAGTTATTCAAGTAAAAGATTTAATAAAACATTGTGATTAGGCAATAGCAAGTGGACATGAACTTGAAACACATGGTAGGAAGTAAAAACAAAAAGAAATATTTTCGAGAAAAATAAGTTATCGCTAAGATTCTTTATTTAGCTTTAGCAGCATTAGAACCAGTTGTATATGATTTATTTCCTGTTGAAACCTTACTTGAACTTGTTCGATATAATAAAGTAATGTGATATTATAAGAAATAGTCCCCATTCGAATAATAAAAATTCCTAAAACGTTTTATTAAATGAGACTGAACAAAACATGTTCTTCCATCAGGTCTCACATATCGTAGAAACTCGAGAGGATATTAGTGTGGATGTGTAGGTATAATTTTTCTCCTCAATTGAATCCACACCCACAGTTCAACGAATCAATGGTCTGAAAATAACTATATTGTTGATGCCGAGAACTCGACAATATTTGGAAATAACAACCTTCGGTTATGTATTTTATACAAGATACGATAATAAAAAGTTTACAGGAAAACTAGACGTCTTAATTATTGTAAATAAAAGCATCTTTTCATATCATCTATACGTACTAAACAAAGCAATAATAGAATTTATATTTTTATAGACTTTGCACTTTTTAACAATAATTGTTAATAGTGTTCGACATGAAGGTGAAAAATGGAAAATGTTTTTCACGACTAATTTTCGAGGTACTTTTGTTCATTTACAATCACATGTTACTCTACTGGTTTTCCCTAGACTGAAAGGCTAGGGTTTAGAAACCGTAATTCACGTGTGTCTGTATGTCTGTCTGTCTGTCTGTAACTAGGGGTTGGCACAAATGATCATTTTTTATGGCACAAATGACTATTTTTATGGCACAAATGACCACTTCTATGGCACAAATGACCATTTTTGTGGCACAAATGACCATTTTAACGGCACAAATGACCATTTCTATGGCAGAAATGACCATTTTTATGGCATAAATGACCATTTTTATGGCACAAACGACCATTTCTATGGCACAAAGGACCATTTTTTAAGGCACAAATGACCATTTCTATGGCACAAATGACCATTTCTGTGCCGCAAGTGACCATTTTAATGGCATAAATGACCATTTCTATGACACAAACGGCCATTTTTATGGTACAAATGACCATTTCTATGCCACAAATGACCATGGTTTTTTGGCATAAATGACTTTTTTTTGGCACAAACGAACATTTATATGGCATAAATCACCGTTTATATGGTACAAGTTATCGTTTACATGGCACAAATGACCGCAGAAATACAACCATCTGGTTGTCATCCTTCCGTCAGTCTAGGGCCCAGTGAATCGACCTTCGATGTCGATGAACGTTACTTGTATCTAAGGTTATTTTTCTTTTTTTAATAATCTTCGACAGTGGCGTAGCCAGGAATTTTTGAGTAATGGGCCGTTTCCCAGCTAAATTATTCGAAGGACTAGGCTGTAATGGGCAATTAAAAATCAATTGGGCTATAATTTTTTAAAAACTCATTCAGATCACCACAACCAATCGATGCTTATTGAAGAGAAATTCATCACTCTTAAGAGTATGGGTGTGGATGTGGGTATGGGGTACATATGGATGTAGATTCGGGTATAATTAGAAACACACTTCCACACCCAGCCACACTCCTCTCCACACCCACACCCACGCTCACACCCCACACCAACACCCACCCGCAGATCTACACTTCACTCACACCCACACCCTGTTACATAGCAAAAGATTTTAGCTCAGATTACTTCAATCATTTCTGTTCGATAAGATTTTATGCCATCAGAAAGATGGACAAGCATTTATCGATATTGTGCATCGGCGAGTTTAACTGGAAGAACGAGTATGCTGACAACAAAAATATCGTTGAATCGTTACCATTGTGAGCGTTAGCTCAATGAAACAGTTTGTGAGTTAATCTTTCTGAATCATCCGATTAGGTCACAATAACAGATAGTGTATTAAAATAAAGGCATTTGAGTTTTTCAACGTGTATGTGTATCAAGATTTTTCGGCAATGGGCAATTGGTATTATTTCAAAAAACTCATGGGCCATTGATTTTAAATTGCTGGGCAATTGCCCATTGGCCCTATCCCTGGCTACGCCACTGATCTTCCATTTTTACATTACTTTTTCTTTTCAAATAGGATCAATCACTTCTGGATATTTATTCAACACAATTAATACTATTTGATGTTGGATCATCATTTAAATTACGACCTATTGATCCATTTATTGTTGCTTTTCGAGCATCAACAAATAGAAATGTTAGTTTGTTTTTATTTATGAAATTTTCCTGTTGTTTACGAGATGAAATTTTTAGTGAGTAAGTATTCACAATGATTTTATTTATAACTTTAAAAACTACGATTCTTACTTTTGTTTTTAGAGCTCCTCTTCGAA